ATATATATTATATATATATATAACTGTAACTATATTATCCTCATGTTCTTCCTATTTTTGTCCATTTCTTTTACGATGGGCTACACTTGGATTGTTTTTCTGCAGTGTACACCTAAATGGCAGTTTACAAGTTGACATTAGTAGTGCATACAGAATATTTCCAAATACCTACCTAGATAATATTGTATAAATATATTATTTTGGAATGCAAAGTCACTGACTGTTAGCAAATCTCCAACAAAGCTATTGTTGTTTAACTGTTTACAGTGAAAAGATATACTGCAGCCTTGGCTCAGAATTCTCTTGGTTTGTGCAGTTTCTCTACTTTTGAGAGGTGTGGCTGTGTTTTATTCTTGCCAGTTCATTAATGTTAATATCTTAAACACAGTCATCACAGTTTCAGTATCTAGAGACATGTTAACTGACAGTAACACTGAAGACTTTTTTTTTTTCACTAATAGTTCGCCATGCAACATTTGGGAATTTGTTTATTGCTCTTTTACTTTGTATATGAAGGGAAATGGGCTTTATTCTTTCTCAAGGTGTTGTGAGATAAATTTATCACCTGAAGTATTTTGAAACCTCATGAAAGCCGGTATAGCTTATTACATTATCATTTAACCTATATTAATTGCTTTTCTTTTTGGAGTGTCTTTCTCATACCTCATATTGTTTTTTACTAGAATAGTAAGTATTTCTTTCTACCCCTAGGTAAGGGCGAGAAGAATTCTATGAGATGAACTAATCTTTGGCAGTCCAGAGAGACAGTATATTGACAAGCATCTAATGGTGCCCACATGTCTTGCTGCCTAAAAATGAATGTTTTGTTATCACTGCCTAGAACTCATATGGCAATTACTATCAAAAGGCTTTCCCATAATTTTCATATATATGTGTATTTTCAAATAGCTATATATGTATAAATATGTATATGCACACAAAACCCAAAATCTTCTGTTCATTGAAACAGTGTAAGAAAGATGATTTATTTAAACATGCCAGGAAATACAAGGGTTTTTGGCTTCTTTTTTTGTAATTATGGTAGAGCTTAAAAGTTCATGATTACATATACCTAGCATAACAGAAGTATCAAACATAGAAATAAAGCTGATTCTCGCCCCTTTCAACTTACAGTTGAAAGTTTATTTACTATTTTTGATACAGATAAATATTGACATGTTGCACATATTCCAGCAGTTCAGAAGGCAAACAGTTGTGCTCATATATTGCACAATAAATTCCAAGAAGAAAATGACCCACCTACTCCAGAGAGAAATGCCAGTTTACAAGGCAGTGTAGATGCATTAGTGAGAGCTAGAGCTGTAAAAAAAGACCCCGTCCTGGAAAATGGCCCTTTGAAGAAGAAAGGTGTGTTATTACCTGCAAGATCACAGGTATGTAAGTGATAAAAGCATTTATACTTTTTTTCTACTTGTCCTCTGAGATTTGTTATATAATGTAAGACACTGTCAAGCTTTGTACGTCCTCACAATTTTTTTTATTTTGAGCTAGGAGGCATAAGGGGATAAACTATGTCATCTGCCTATGTTACTTCTAGTGGTTATGACTATTTTATCAAAAGTTTTTTATAAGTAGTGTTATTGTTCCTTGGAAATGCAATGAACAACTATAAACAATGAATAACAGAATTAGCAAGGAAAACTTTCACCAAAACCAGTTTCATATTTGAAATTAGCATGGTTATTTTTCAACTTGAAATTAAAGTTGAAATATTTTCCTCTTATTGGTCATCCTGTGTCATGAAAAATGCACTCCGCAGTAATGTTGTGTTAATGCTAACGTTAGTAGGAGGATAGAAGTTGGGTAGATTTACTTCACTGATTACAGAAATCATAAAACTTCACAATATAAATTCTGGTTTCTGGTAAGTCCTTCTTGCAACCAGCAAGAGGCTTCTGTAATGCAAACAAATGAGTTCTTTAAAGAATATTTCAAAGTGCTAAATTTTGCAAAGAATTGGATTTTTTTATTAAATGCCTTTTTTTCTTTTTGCCTTCCTCAGAATATCACCTTCAGCTTGAAAAATCAGATCTGATACAGTAACATAGATGTATGCATATGTAACTTTTACTGCTTCTCATATCTATCTATCAGTGACCAATTGTGAGCAGGAAAATTAAGCATTTCAATAATTCATACTAGACTGGGACTAGTCTAAGTATCCTTGTAGCAAATACAAATATGGCAATATTACAGTTTCATGGCTGAATAAAATGTTACCTTGGAAGTCTTCTATTTGGATTTGTTAAGAGTTAACATAGAGTCAAATTCTGTAAATTTTGGATTTTTTTCCCGGGAGAGCAACACTGGAAAAACTGGAACTGTTTGCAACGATAATAGTTGCAAGATTAAGCATATGTTCTGTTCAGGCACAGCTGGACTTCCCTTTTAATTAGTTGTAAAACCTCCACATGTCTCAACTCTGCAACAAAGCCATGACTTCAAGACAAGCTGAAGCAGAATGCAAAAAACATTAAAAATTCAACAGCTGGAATATATGTTTGTAATGTGATTGTGTTAATTTTAAGGGAAAGCCGAAATCTCTAAAATCAAGACAGGTACAGCCTCAAGAAAAGCATGCCCGACTTCAGGAGACAACTATAGCTTCCCAGCTAAAAGAGAACAAACGACTTGTTAAGGAGAGCAGAATACCCTGCATGCCTCCAAACCCTACACCTCTGCCTGTTTCACCTAAGCGGTATGTTCGGAGTGTAGTGGAACCTGTCTTTATCCTCCTTTCCCGTGGAAGTGCTGCTATATCTGTACTAGTGAATAGGATGGATTTGGCCTGGCTGTCAGGCCGTGAACGCAAGTGGCACAGCACAGCTTGTTACTGGATAGTTGTATTCTTTTCCCACTCGGCACAAAGCGGCCTCATTCATACAGCCTGGGAAGAGCCATTACTTATGCTTTTTCCTGGATCATGTCCAAGTATTGTCTGGGAGTCACAGGCCAAGCTGCGCTAGGCAGAGCATTTACAAAACACGCAGTAAGCAGAATGAATATTCAGAGCACTGCATTAAGAAGGTAAATATTACCTCCCCGTTCCAGAAGGATAAAATACACATCTTTGTCCTAGCCAGCAATAGAGTGCAGGTTAGTTTATTTTAAACTATATTCAGCATCCTGTATCTCAGGGCTCCCCAAATTTAGTTTCCTCTGGGACTGCTGTTTGTGGCAGTTGAAGCAGGAGATCTAGCTGCTAGATCTGTGCTAGGCAGTGTGCATGGTAAGATGAGAGGTTCCCTCTCTCTGGGCAGTATTTGTGGATAGCCATGAAATTCCCTGTTTGCCAGTAGCAGAAACATAATTGAAGATCCCTGGTTCTTAACAGAATTTCCTGGCTTATACGGTCTTAAAGTCAGTATTAATTTTCTTTCTAAAGTTTTTTGCAAGTTTTCTAAACTGATACTCAGAATCACATGATTTAATTCTTCAGTTGTTAGAATGTGCATTCTGTAGCCCTCTGTTACTGTTTTATTTTTGAAGATTAGCATGGCTTGAAGCAGAAACCTCAAGAAGAGTGAAGGTTCTAACTGACCTTAGCAGAGGAGAAATGAAAAAAAGGCAAAAGTTGATGACTGGCTTTGAAGAGCTAATAAATGGTGTCAGGTCTGACATGGTCTTCTGCCCACTCCCACCTGTCCCCCAAAAAGTACATTTATGTGTTTGGGTTTTTTAAATTATTGTTTTAATACCAAGTTTCAGAATGGCATTGTCATTTGTTCTTTTTTGTGTAGGTCACAAAGTGCTTCTCCAGCCCAGTATGCAGACAAAATTGAGAAGGCAGTACGGGAGCGCTTAGAACCTCTATTAGATAGAACACAGGTAGTAGAGTCAAGCTAATGCCACTGTTTGAAGGATGCCTTTAGAGCTGTAAAACATTTATAAAGGGGCAACACT